TAGTGCGAATAACTAGTGAAAATAAGTGGTCTAGATAGCCAATTAGAAAAACAGAGATTACTTATGCCTTCAGGTTTTACAAGCTGATGCATTGTTAAAAAATGGATCAACCTCAGAATGTTAACTGGGGAATAAACATAGGATCTCTGGTTGTTACGGATTTCCAGAGAAGCAGTCTAATTGCAGACATTCTAAGGAACACATTGCTGGTTTGCTCAGAATATATGATTAGTAACATTAGGGTATCTATCACTTGGCTTTTTTTAAAGCATGTTAAATCAGAGTATTCCTTTAGCAGAAGTTAGATAACATAACAAAGAACCAGAATATGTAGGATAATACAGTAAATTTACTTTCTATAGTCATCTGGCAACTAGAACAGGAGATTCACCAATTTTATTAGAAGGGAACAATAATTCTTATACATTCTGTTCTATTTTCAATCCCAGACTTTTGTGTATAGTATATTGATAACAGTGTTGCTGAAGATGTCTTTCCACCCACCTTAAGGCTGCAATCCTAAAACTCATATTACTAAGTGAGCCCCGCTGAACACAATGAATCCTATTTCTGATTACTGGGCTCCTGACAGCAGCCATTCTATCAAACTGCAGGAGAAGGATATACCATGTTTCCCTGAAAATAAGACCGGGTCTTATATAAATTTTTGCTCCAAGAGATGCATTAGGGCTTATTTTTAGGTGTGTCTTATTTTTTCTTACAAAAGCTGTAAGACTCTTGCCCTGAGAGTCCTCCACGATTCCTTTCTTGTACTCAACAGACTAGCTCTTTCTTTTTGCACCCATCTTGCATTTTGCATCCATGCATTAAATACAAAAACTACAGCAATATTAGTAATAATTTCAGCAGATAGTCAAACTTAGTGATTTTGGGTCACCAAGCACTGGCAAATCATTCAGGAATTGAAATTCCTGAATACCTTTCCTATCTTAAGGCAGATTAAAATGTTCACAAAATTTTAACAATGTATAGCAGGATTGGAAAGAAAGTTGATCAGGACCTATTCATAGATCTCTGAGTGATCTGCCTTAGATCAACAGGGATTTCTGACTTCCAAATGCTTTTTAATAACTGCAAAGTAAAGACTCCCCACAATTCTACTGCTGAAGATGGCTTAGAGGACTGAGTGAGCCATTCAATTCTGATATAGAACAAATTATTTAAAATGAATGCCTGAGCTCAGGATTCTTTAATTCTGTCTTTTGCACCAGACTCTTGTAGTAGATATTGGGGTTTCAGAAAAAAGGGGGCTCCTGCAAGACTAAAGTCTACCACTGAACTACATATCAAAAGAGAAAGTAATGAACAGTACATCTGGAGACCTCTACAGGACAGCTAACAAAATGCAAGTTGGGTAGCAAATTTCTCCATGAGGTCTCCCCCAATTCTGAAAGAATTACACTTGGCTTACTACTTGTGGTGTAGGACTAGAACTCAGGAGATTTGGGTGCTAGTCTTTATTCAGCCACAAAGCACACTGAGTTACTTTGGGCTAGCCACTCAGCCTAGCCTACCTCTCAGAGCTGTTAGAGCATGGGTCCTCAAACTATGGCCTGTGGCCCAGATTCGATCTGCCATGCTCATTTATCCGGCCCACCTCAGAGGTTTTGGACTCGCTTGGAAAAAACAATCTCCGAGCGAGTCCAAAAGCTCTGAGCTGGTGCAGGCATTCTTTGAAAATGAGCAGAGAGCCGGTGCATGCGCCTAATTGTAAAAGCTCAACTGTGCGTGTGCTGGCTCTCCCCCGCCCCCTCTCCCCCACTGCATGCATATAGAGAGCGGGAATACGGAGCAGGAAACAGAAGAGGGCAGAAGAGAGAGAGAGACAAAGACGCTAAAAAAGTATTGAAGGTAAGAAAAAAATATAACATTTTTTCTCTGTTTTTAATTATGTGAGCCTGGGGGCTGTGCAGCCTTCTCTGAGTAACCCGCTGCCACCTCACTGAGCCCAGGAGTGGACAGGCTGTGTGGCCTTCTCCGAGCAAGCAAGCAAACATTTTTTAATTTTTAAAATGTTAATTATTTGTACATTAATTTTACTTTTAATTAATTTACATTAATTTTTAATTTTAATTAATTTTTTAATGTGCAGTGTGCATATGAATTTGTTCATTTTTTTTTTCAAACTACAGTCCAGCCCCGCAACAGTCTGAGGGATAGTGAACTGGCCCCCTGTTGAAAAAGTTTGAGGACCCCTGTGTTAGAGGATACAATGGAGAGAACAACTCTGTAAGCTGCCTTGTGTTCCTTGCAAAAGGAGGAAAAGCAGGATATAAATGCTATCTATCTATCTATTTTTAATACCATCCAATAGGCAAAGCTTTCTGGGCAGTTAACATAAGTTAAAAACAACAAAAACAAGGAAGACATAAAACAATAAGACAACAAATAATAAAACCATAGCAATTGAAACTGAATCAGCACAGAGGCATAGCAGTGGTAAAAATTTAACTATTGAAATGCCAGGCAAATAAAAAGGTTTTCACCTGGTGTCGAGAAGAATAGAGAGTAAGTGAAAGGCACCTAATATTTTTCTGCTCAAAGTTCTGGTTGCTTATCTCCTAAGGTTACACCATATTTTTAACACCAACACAACCAGCAATGTTATATGTTCCTGGTCAGTATAGTAATCCTCTTTAATAGCAAACTCCAAAGAGTGCTGACAGGACTGCAGCCAAAATGGAGCCACTGAGAAACAATAGGGTAATTGAGCTCTACAGAAGTATAAAAAAACCTTCAGAAAAAACCTGAATGGGGCAAAAACTCTGGATGGGGTTGCACTCCCCCAAAGGACAGAGACAGGAGTTTGGGGATGCTTCTGGACCCAGAGCTGCCCCCAAAACACCAGGTGGGCTCTGTAACCAGAAGCACCTTCCATTGGCTGATTTACCAAGCTTGTTCTTATCTGGACAGGCAGAATCTGGCAACAGTAATTCATGCCCTGGTAACCTCTTGGCTTGACTACAGTAACATGCTTTACATGGAGCTGCCCTTGAAAATGTTCCAGAAGTTGCAACTGATACACAGCAGAGCAGCATGTTTGCTTACAGGGACTAGTAGACAAGATCACGTATCACTAGTCTTTACAATCTTTACTGGTAACCAATTGCAGTCCAGGCCACTTCAAAGTGCTTGTATTAACATATAAAGCTTTAAACAGCTTAGGACCTGATTATTGGAAGGATCATCTCCACCCATGTGTATTTACCCATGCCTTAAGATCATTTTTGGAGGTCCTCCTCTGTGTTAGAAAAGGCCTGCGGCTCATACTGATATTTGCTTGCTTTAACTGCAGGAGGCCCAGGTGAGGTACTCTTGACAGCACTGCCACTGTCTCTGAAGGATGCTCTGCCAGTCTCCCCTTCAACTACAGTTGGTGCACAAAAGCTGCCCTTCAGCAGTTTCCCTGCCCCTTCACCATTAGAAGTATCAACTCTCTTTTGCTGATGTGACCATTACTCTTGAAGAAGGTGGATGTATTTTACATTTTCCCTTGGGTGACCCTGCTAGGAAACCAGCCTACTGAGACTCCTGGCCACATTGCTCTTGGATTCTTTGACACTCTGAACTCCCCTCACCACAATAAGCTGTTTATCTGAGAAGGAATACGATCATTACTAAGTATAAACACTAGGGAAAAGAACCATGTATTCCAGTATAAGCTCATTGGAAAAACGGTGAGGAATTTGTGTTAATTTGTAAGATAGTGCTACATAATTAACACATCAAAACTCTCTCATCAGTCAATTTAACTTCTCCTTAAGCTATTTTACTCAAGTTGTCCCAAAGCTACCCCATCACTGTTTCAAAGAGACTAGCTGCTTTTGGTTTCCTTCAGCTGTCATCCAGCATTCCATCAGGCTAAATATACTTATTAAATCCAAGCTTGATTCCTTCCACGTTTTCATTCCTTTTTCCTTGCCTGTATGTCTTTTAGACTGAAAACCTTGGAACGGGGACTTTTATATGTATTATCTGTGTAAGACACTTTGGGAGAGATTTTGGCTTAACTGTAAAAACATTTCAAATAAATATGTAAGGCTAGAAACTATTCCTTAACTGGTGATCTTGTATTATCATGAATGCTCTTTTTATCACTAGCTCTTTTCATAGCAAAATTAACAGGTTTTTTTTGTGGAATTTTACTTTCTAAAGAAGCAAAGCAGTACCACAGTTATCAAGTTTAGGGTGCTATATTAAGTATATTTAGATAGAAAAAATTCTACATGCAGGGTTTTCTCTGCAGAGTTTTAGTTTCTGTCTGTCTAAACATGAACAGGATTGTGCCATTAAATAAAAATATGCTTGGGGATAAGACCAGAGGAATGAAGTATCCATTGTCAAAATAAAGTGATCAGCCAGGCACAACAGATGAGGCCCTTCCACTACCTCAAGTTCGAATAGCTCAAAATACCATTTAACACATAAAATGTTTCAGCAATCTACAAAGGAAGGCAAAGAAAAAACGACAGGCCTCTTAATCGCCATCAGTTTCCAGAACCAAAGCATACATTTTGTTATACAGCAACACAGGATTAATACATTGGATTGAACCAACGTTAGTCCTACTTAAACTCATTAAAATGAACAGGATTAAGTCTGACTGGCAATCACTATGAAAAATTAATAAATAAATGCAAGATTAAATTTAGTTGAGGTAGAGACGGCGAGATTGAATAAGAAAATGCAAGGGCAATCGCGGGAGGAAGAGAAATGGGCAATATGGGCTGAAATACTCGGGGAAACCAAGGAAAGAAGGCAGCGAGGCAACAGAGGATCGCGTGCCAGCTGCACTTTGTCGGAGCGACCCCACAGCAGTTCCATGCCACTGCAACAGCTCCCCTTATTCAAGCTGCACGTAGGAGGAGAAGCCCCGCACGTGCCAGAACGCCGGCGCGGAAGGATACAGCACAAACCATGCATGCGCGCCAAAGCACCGGGAGGGCGGAAGTTCCGGGAGGGTATCAGGGTTCTGCGAAGGGTTGTCCCGTCGCGAGAACGTGGGTCACGTGCCGCTAGAGTGGGGCGAGGCTTCGCCAAAAGGCCTGGATACAAGCGGTGAGTTTAGGCTTTTCTTGGGGGAGCTCAGTTAAGACTTACATTTCTTTGAGGAATTAAGGCACAATCGTGGTGAATGCTTGGAATTTAGGACTTACTTTTTTCCTAACACTTGCGGCCGCCACCTGTACACTTGCAGAAATTCCTTTTTATCTTGGAGTTGTAAACATCTTGCTGTTGGGTTATTTACCAATTCAGACAGTCCAAAACGAAAAGACCAAGAAATAGTGTCATAACATTTTTTTAAAGACACGCGATGGATTAGCCATGTTATTTACACACTCTTGTAATCTCAGTGGGCAAAGGTGGATCCAACCCCTCTGTGTGTCTTATGCCAGAGATTGCGAATGCTTCCAGATAAGGATTTCATCCTGCTTCATTCACAGGGTGTTTTATGTGTGTGTGTGTGTGTGTGTGTGTGTGAGTGTCCATATTTAGGTGACTCCATTGACGTGTAAGCATCACATGTTTTTCCGTAATTTTTTCTGTTTCTTACTGTGGAAACTGTTAAATCAACAACCAACCAACCAATAACCACCCTCCCTGCATCTTATTAACACTAAGAACCCTCCGTCTGTGAATGACTTGCTAGAATGCATGTATCAAAATACCTTTACAAAATCAATGGGGTGACTACCTGGGTTTATTTATTTGATTTATCTCCTCCTCTATCCCATGAGGTTAGTGTTAACAGGTATTCTAAATATTAATATTTTATCGTAAGAGGCTTACAGTGTAAGGACATTTGAAATGCCTTGTACAGTTTTGAACACCTAATTGCAAAAGGAATATCAGAGACCTGGGACAATGCAGAAGAGTGAATAAACTTAGAAAATTCAATTGCATAAGAAGTGATGAATGCCAGAAGCTTCAAAAAGTGTGGGTATGGGTTAGATAACTTAATGGAGATTTGCATGTTAATAGCTAATAGCCATGATTTAGGTGAAAATCAATATAAGCTAAATGGAACTACAGAGTTCAGAAGTATGCTGCTGAGTGTTGCTTTTGTGCCTTTTCTGTGGGCTCAGAAGATTTAGAAACATAGAAACAGAGCGAGTCAGAAGGGGTCTTCGGGACCGTCTAGTCTGACCCCCGGCCGGCTCCACTCACGACATGCCCACCATGTGCATGTCTAGCCTATCCCTGAACACCCTCACCGATGGGGCCTCAACCACCTCCTGTGTTTGGATATAACTGAAAACAAGATACAGGACTAGGTGAAAACTTGATCTGGCCCAGCATTATTGTCCGGATTAATTTTTTTGCTGTCACACATCAGGGTGTTTCTGTATTTCAGACATTACTACTTACTTTCAATATTGTTTATTATTGCAGACATTGTACATAGATTATTAGCTCAAACTAAATAGTTAATATTTCTTCCCCACAAGTATTACAGATTTAAAAACAATGTAATTCATGCAAAGTACAACAAACTAATACTTTTGGTAAAAGATGTGTTGAAATATGCAAATATTCAAATTCAGTGTAAATCCCAAGAATTATATATGTTAATAAATCCTGCCCCAATGTAGCTCAGCAAAATGAAAATTTAAATAGTAAAAGTATGTTATGAGAACAATACACAGAAAATAATTGTGGGGATAGCTCTAAGCTTCAGGGTGCAAGAGCTGGAGCATCTTAAATTGATTTCCATTGTTTATCCCTTTACAAAAGGATTTCACGTAAAATCATAGAACAGTAGAGTTGGAAGAAGCCAAGAAGACCACTGCGTCCAACCCCTGCTGGTGAAGGTCACCAATTTATACCATCCCACTGATTATTATATCTTGCTCCTTGTATATATCTTATACAAGACATCTTTTATCTTGCATACATTGTAATATTGAAATAGCATTACATTGACTAGCAGAATTTTGCTCTAGCAAAACAATTTTATATGGTAGAATCCACACATGATTTTAAATAGTTGATTATATGTTCTAAATATATGCTAGATTATTTTGTCTTGTTATATTTATTGTTTTATTTTTGTATTAACTAAGGGGTGAATTGGGATATGCATTTTAAAAATAAGATATATTGTATCATTCCAGGGTCATGTGGAACCATATTACTTTGATTCTGGTCTCCCGATATCCACGATGCTTCTTGTCTGTATCTTGCTTTCCATTGTTCCAGCCTTCCAAGAAGAAGTGTCAGGAATTTGGCATGGGCAGACAGCAAATACTGAATCTACTGACCTGTGAGGATAGAGTAAAATCTGTCAACTTGGTTCCTCATAAGATGATTCATTCCTCTTCTGTGAGCTTCAAACTAAAAGCTAAACAGCATATGAGAAACTTCCCAGTATTAGATGGCAGCATCCCTTCCCTATATCGACATGCATTTGAAGTAAATGCAAAGAATAGTGCGGTCTGCATTCAGAGGTAATATCCCAACAACATTATTTTTTTGTGTATCCTATAGCTTGAATGAGCTTTTAGGAGCCAAAAGAAATCTGTTGATATTGGATGGCACTAGAAGTTTTCAGTCTTAATCAGATTGTGATTCTGAATAATCTGTAAACTTTAAATGGATTGAAGATAATTTGTCCTGCTTTCTGGAAGGTTTAGAATGATTTTTCAGTTTATATACATGGATTTTTATCTTCACAGGGTCAAAAGAAGTGTGAACAATGTTAGATAACTTAAAGGCATCTAGCTTGATTGTTTCTTTTGCAAAAGCTAGCTGTGCTGCATTCTTTGAGAACATCATAATATGTGGGTTTGTTTGAATGCAGTGGCTGGTCCTGAAGGAAAGCAGCCCAAAGAGTTTTTTTCAGAACTGTTAATATGAGCTGAAACAAAACTCATTAATATGATGGCATAATTTTTCATAAGTTTTTCCATAGTGATAATTTTGTTAGGAGACAGTCCTACAGTTAGTTTTGGAGATTTGAAATTGAAACTTGATAATGAGGGTTGGAGGGCTGGAGGAACAGCAAAGGTGATGTTCACTTCTCTGTTTTTCTGTCCCTTAGATCTTGCTAGGTAGGCTTTTCACCTCATATCCTGGCATCTCTGGTACCATCCCATTCCTGCCCACCAGAATGCCCAATTTCCCCTCTCTCTGAGATTGAATTTCTAATCTCAGAGAAGCAGCTGGCATGATTCTTTTGTGTGAGGCTGCAAGGGGAGTGGGTCACATTTCCATCCCCCCTTTCTGATGTCTCTGATCTTATTATGTGACATGCTATGGTCCCTGTGACGTTCTTCAAGGGACCAAAGGATTGCTTTCTTAGTATCTTACGAGCAAGCCGATATCCAAAGAGAAAATACAAAAACAATTACAAATAGAAAATTGTTTTAGGTTTGTGGGTAGGTCACCATGTTCACAAGATCAGGCCAGAATCTGACTCTTGTTTTCATTGAACTTTTGACCAGAGGAAGCAAGCTGAGCCAAGATCAAATCCATGGCTGCTCTGGAATACTAGCAGCTTCTCTGTTCAAACAGCGAAGTATGTAATCAGCTGTGGGGCCAACTTAATGTTTTTGGGCCAGTCACAAACACTCAGCCTAACCTATCTCATGAATTGTTGTGGGGATAAGATTGGGAGCAGGAGGAGAAGGATATTCAAGTTGCTTTGAGGTCTTTAAAAGAGAAAATATACTAATAAGGAATAAACATCTGTGCAAAATATGCAAAGTTTGCAGGTCGTGTATAAAAGCAGAACTCTACTTGCACAGTGGGCATATGGGTGGTGTGTGTGCATGCTTGGGCTCACTTCCTGCCAGACACCTATGTGAACACTTTGCATAAGATGGACAGGGTAGAGAGAATGGGAGGGCGGGGGGCAGGAGCAGAGGCCAGGAAGCTGAGCCGAGGAATCCGACCAATTCCCATCCTCGAGCCAGATTTTTCACACATCCCTACCGAATGTTCTCTTTCGGGTTATAGACTGTTTCCAAATAAAACACACTTTTATTTGGTCTCATTTTCAGAATAATTGTACAGTAGACTCTCGACTATCCGGCTCGTGACTATCCGGCCTAGTTAAAAAATAACTATCAATGAACAGTAAAATAAGTTTAAATAATTTTTGAATTACGCCTACATTTTATGTTAATGTTTTGTTTATTTTAAAAGTGTATGTATTCATACTGTACAGTGTACATGATTTTATGTTTCCTGCAATTAAGTTAGACATTATAAAATTAATCTTAAAATGTGTACAATATTTTTATCCTTGGACTTCCTTTTTCTGTAATAAATTTTTAAAATGTACAGTACATAACAAACATTTATAAAGTACTGGCCTGTACTAAGAGGTCAGAAAATATGACTAAGAGCGGGTTTTGGTATAAAAAGGGTGTTTTTAATGGTTTGGGTGGGGTAGGAAGTGAGCATTTATAGAACTCCGGCCTATCCGGCTTGCCCTTCCACCACATTAGGCCGGATAGTTGGGAGTCTACTGTAGGAAAGAAGGAACTGCCTTAAGTCTTTACTTTAAAATAACCTGACATAATATGAAAATGATGTGTATGCATGCACTTCAGATAAAACATCTCCAGTTTAAATTCTTATTTATTTTTTTCTTTGCTGCTGGATGTTTAATAACACAGTAAGTAAATGTAACCTTAATTGGTTTGCACAAATAACAGAAGTACTGTTTTCCCACTAGTATGATGGCAGACACAGGAAGTTTAATATATTAACTTTCTTTAAGTTCCTTATGTCTTTAAAAACAGAACATTGGTTTTGAGCTCCTTTGAGCTTTTCATTTTGATACCAGGTACTCAGAATTGCTTCTGAAGATCAGTAAAGGAGGAGGAAAAAATGCAGTTTTACGTCACACTGAGAGGAACAAGAAGTTGCTTGTTCGTGAACGCATAAAGATGCTGCTTGATGATGAACCTTTCCTTGAGCTCTCCCCCTTTGCAGGCCTTGATATGCCTTATGGTGATGTTCCTGCTGCAGGATGTCTCACTGGTAGGTTTTGTGTAAGAGGAAATTAAGTATAATACACAATAGTAGCAGCATACATACGTACTCTGGCCTAACCCAGGCTAATCAGGATTTTGGTTGCTAGCAGCAACAGGGAAAATAATCAATTTCTTCTGAGCTGATTCTATTGGAAGATGCAATACTGAAAATAGAATGAGAGGAGACATCAAGAATGGCTTGCTATTGATTAATTGATTTCAAAGTTTTATAAGCTGCCTATTAAACCCTTTCAGAATGGGGTACACAATTTATTTCACATTTTAAAAACACAAATGGGCACAAATCTATAGGAGCCTCAGAAATCTTTCAAGACAAAGGTGGTATTCATCGCATATTATTTCCTTCAGATTTAAAATAAAGCATTTTGTTACTATATGAACGACTGGTGATTGTTGAGGGCAGCATATGCCTGTTAACTAAACTGAGGTTGTTGCTGATGTGCTGTGAAAGGGATAGTGGGTATTTTCATATTGGTAGCTAATCTCGTCAGTTCTGCCTAACTTCCCCTTGACTCGGTGCCTCATGATGTGGGCAGTGAACTCTGTCTCTACTGAAGCTGCAGGACTGAGGGTGGGGAATAAAAGGAAAGCTGTTCATTTAGATTCCCCCAATAACAGTTGTTTGAGTGGCATGTATTGACTAGTCTGTGTATAATTGCAGCATATTTTACATGAAGTTATCCATAATCTGTGGGGTTATGCATCATGCATGAAATGCTTCTGGTCTGCAGAAACACTCTAGGTGAATTCTGATTGTAGGTTTTTATGTGATGTCTTAACCCAGATATTTTGGATTGTTTGTGGGTAAAACAATCTAACATTAATACAGGAGCCAACCATGGGTTAACTTTGGAATGTCTAACCTACAAATCACTGAAAGTGTCTAGGTTTGGACATCACATTAGCAACCTATTAATAGGGCTATTTTGGATTGTCACTGCAAGCCGGATGCAGTTTAAAAGTATAATACATCTCTGTAAATTGTGAGTTAAACTCACAATTGGCCACTGAAAGCCATCAAGTAGTCCGTTATGTTGGGAGTTCTCTATCCTGGCTAAATTTTACCTTAACGCTTTGCAGTAGAACTGCATTTTATCAGCTTAATTGGTAAATTAAATAACTACAGATTCAGTTGATTGGTATAACTGTGACTTAAGAAGGTACTTTATTTGAGAATATTTTGGATCCTTGTGTGTTGATATAATGAAACATGGATTAAAAACTATTGTACATTTAATATCTCAAAGTAACCACATCAGCATTTTGAAAATATGCAATTTTATTTTATTGATGGACTAAACATTGTCTGGGAGTCATAATATATGCTGGATTCCCAGATCCAAAGCTGGAAACAGTTCTTTGACCTTGGAACTGGTAATTTGAACTCCAGCCCACTTCCTGGTGGGCCGAAGTGCATGAAAAGCTGTGTGCCTGCTGCCTTTCTGAGGGTGTGAGCTAGATTTCAGAGAGAAGGTAATGGGTGTTTCTGTGAGTAGGAACTGGAAAAGACTGCAGAAACCAAGGTGTGATGTATTATGTACTCTCTACAGCCTCCTTCCCTTTCTCTGCAAAACAACTGCCAAGTGAAAATGCAGAGGGAACAGAGCAGAAAGTAGAGGTTACTTTGACAGCTTCTCCCAGTATGCACAGAATGCCCATAAGTCTCTGAGTTTGGAGTCTTATACGGAATCCTAATTTGATTGTGCCCTCAATTATTTAATTAGCTGACAGAATTAGCATGCAGTGGACCAAGCTGAACGACGAAAGCAAAATGTAATCAAATTCCATATTAAGATTAAGGGATGCTTTCTTAATTTATTTCTATTACATGTATGTGCAAATTCTGGAAAAAAAATAGCACCATAGGATTAATCAGGTTTTTTTCACTGTCTAGATCTATAACAGATCTAAATACCTAAAAATGTGTTATTATTGCAAAGAAACCAAACAAAGCTGTTCTTTCTGAATAAAGCTTTTCTTTCTGACCTTGGCTATTTTAAGATGTCACAGAAAACATCTATCATATTTGTGCACTTAGATCATTTCCCTAATTTATGGCACAATTGTACAGTACTTTAGTATGGATAATTTAGACCATTGGTAACATAATACTCTCTTGAGAAAGTTTTATTTGCAACATTTATTTTGACCCTCATTTTAGGAATTGGAAAAATCTGTGGAGTCTGGTGTGTCTTTGTAGCTAATGATGCGACTGTAAAAGGTGGGACCATTTATCCTATTTCAGTGAAGAAACAACTAAGAGCTCAAGAAATAGCAATTAAAAATAGACTTCCATCTATTTACCTTGTGGACAGTGGGGGAGCATTCTTGCCGCTTCAGGTAAATGATGCATTTGATGAAATTGGTTCATTTTTAATCTGTTGAAAAATTATTATCTTTGTTTCACATTTTCAGTCAGTTTTCACTTCTGTGCCCTATAGATACTGTATACAAGAAAAGTATTGTATGGGTAAATAACTAATACAGTGGTACCTCGGCTCACGAACGCCTCAGTTCACGACCAAATCGGGTTGCGAACAAAAATTTCATAAGAATTTTGACTCAGGTTGTGAACTCGGCATTGGGTGGTGACTGTGATCGCGGCCATCTCCCCCCCCCCCCAAGTGGGGACATAGCCGCGATCATGCTGGGGGCAGCAGGGAGATGGCTGAGATCGCGCCCGTCTTTCCTGCACGAGCGCGCCCGTGATTGCACCTGTCTTTCCTGCAGGAGCACAACCGCGATCTCGGCCATCTCCCCCCCAGCACGAGCGTGCCCATCTCCCCCCCCAAGTGCGCCCACATTCGTGCCCGTCTCTCCCCCCGCACGTGCCTGTGATCTCGGCCATCTCCCCCCGCAGCATGATTGCGCCTGTCTCCCCCCCCCGAGTACACCTGTGTTCGCACCCATCTCTCCCCCCAGCACGCCTGCATTTGCACCCATCTCTCCCCCCCCCACCAGCGTGCCATGATGACGGGTGCGTGCAGGGATGATGGGCGCGATTGCAGTTGTGCTGGGGTGGCAAGGAGATGGCTGCGATCTTTGTTGTTCTTTGCACTTTGCTTCACATTTTTCTGATTAAAAAAAAAATAGTTACAGAATGGATTAACCTTATTTACATTGAACCTTATGGGGAAATTTAACTTGGGTCACAACCAATTTGGGTCATGACCAGAGTCCTGGAACAGATTAATTTTGTGAGCCAAGGTACCACTGTACCTCAAAACCGTAGTTAATACCTGGATGTTGATGAAGTATTAGTGAAATTATTCTTCTGAAAGCATATGCATTGACTATATAAATCTTGAAAAATCTTAAGGAAGCAAAAATGAAGTAGGTCTGCTGAGAAATGGTGGCTCATCCAGTTTGCTTTAAAAAGATGTCAACAGAATTTGAAGCAAGAAGGAAAAAATTGAGGACAGACTACAATGTTTGAAATCTGTCCATCTGTTGAATGCAGGAACTAACTTCTCTTCTGGAATGAACATTTTAACCATTGATTCAGCTACCTGGGGTATCATAGAGTGCCTGCAAATATTAAAGCTGTCAATATGCAAAGCCAAGGGACATTGCAAGATGTTATTACTGTTTTGATAATCCTCTGCTAATGGCTTTGTGGTACTGTATTTTACCTGGATGATTTATATTCCATCTTTTAATGCAATGATTTCCAAGAGGTTTCTTGAGCAATTTGAAAACTTACCAAGCACCATTGTTCTGGCCAGTAGCAGAAGCAGTATGCTGTTCAAAAGGAAACATTTTCTTTCCACCTTTCAAATATACCCAGTGCGAGTCTTCCACGATGAAAAAAGAAATGTCCTTTCTGGCATATCTTCCCAAGCAGACATTTCCCTGCCTTACACCACAAGTAAGGAGCCAAATGATAAAAACCATAGTAACCAACACCTTCAGCGACCTTGACAAGATTTTGTCGGAAAAGTCATGCTGAACTTACTTGAGAAAGATCTGGCACTGATGATGTCTTGGAATCAGGTCTAATTATCTCCTTTGAAGCTCTGCCAAATAAAGAGCAAGACAACATATTGAGAAGGTTGGACGAACTGAAACCAATGATACACAGTATGACACAGTAATGAGCACTGTTGATTGTTGAATCTTTTTCCTGATAATGTTCCAATACTGGCCCTTGAGAATCCCAGAAATGCATCAATTTTTCTGCTGCTGGTTGACTTTTCAGCTTTTTCTTGGTCAGCAGCTGAGGATGATTCCATCCCATACTCTGCCATTTACTCTCAGGTTTGTAGTGACGAATCCATGTCTCATCACCAGTAATGATTCTCTTTAAGAAATGTTAATGTCCCTTAGAGTATCAGTCCGAATTTTGTTTGCAGATATCCAAACACTTCTGTTTATGCTCTTCTGTGAGTTGTTTTGGTACCCATTTTGCACAAACTTTTCAAACCTAAGTCTGTTGTGGATTATTTCATAGGCAGAGCCATGGCTGATTTGCAAATGATTTAACACATAATGCACTGTCACTCATCTATTTAGCAGATTCATTGCATGTGTATGCTTAACGTTGTCATCAGGTGTGGACGTGGACTGGCATCCAGCTCCTTTTTGATGGCTAACACTTGTGCAAACTTCCTTGAACTTCTCCATTCATTCATACACACTTCTTTGGGACAAAACACTTTGTCCATACTGTGCACAAAGTCTTTGATAAATAACGGCACCAGGGATACCCTCAGACCACAAAAAATGAATCACTGCACCCTACTATTCTTTTGTACAAATCACAAGTGGGGCATCCAGTTTTGCTCACACCGCAGTTACAAATGAACTGATGTAACATGTTCACACATACACAGCAGTAACTAGGGAGACAGTAGCCTTGAATGGAAAGCACTGATAAGACAATGTGCTCAACAGAAGTTTTAATATAACTGGAGTGCGGATAATTTTTGACTCTTTCTCATTTGCAGTGTTGTTGAGCCAAGTATTCCCCAGCTTGCAGTGGTGCATTTGATTTCTTAGGTGGAGGACTTGGCATTTATCCCGACTGAATTTCATTCTGTTGTTCTCTGCCCAGCATTGTAACCATCAAGAGCACCTTGTGTCTTATCTCTGTCTTCCAGGGTATTTGCTATAACACATAATTTTGTGTCATCTGCACCCTCATCTAAATCATTAATAAAAACCAGGACAAAACCCTGTGGCACCCCACTTGCCACCTGTTCCCAGTTTGAGAATGTGCCATTGATGAGCGCACTCTGAGTCTGATTTTGCAGGCAAATGTGAATCCACCTAATGGTTGCTTTATCTACTCTGCTTTTTGCTAGTTTGGTAATCGGGATGTTGTGGGGTGCTTTATCTAGTTCCAGGGCTGCTCAGTTCAGTAACATAGTTCAGGCACTTAATCTTATTGGGTAGGAAAGTATTGTCTGAACATATAAATCAGAACACCTCTGCAGTACTTGAGAAAGATATGTAAGGGATTGCAAATCTAAATCCTTATCACACTGGTTTTTATTTGGTTTTTTTTTTCTTCTTGGTGGGTCTTTTGCCAGCCAAGAAAAACTGCATTAATAAGAGAAATTCAAGCGTTAAATCTGAGTTTAAAAGCAAAGAAGACAACACTGTGATTAGACAGAAACACCTGAGCACAAGCTGTTGTATTATTTTAGTTTTCTTCTAGACATATCTAGACTATCTTATTGGTGTTGTATTTGAATGGAATGCTTTTCCAGAGAGAGATGTGTAAGTTTCACTTTCGGCCAACAATAGCTATCTCTGGATTGGCTTAGCTTTGAATGGCTGCATGTAAAAACAACAAGTGGAATACTTTGAAAAAACTAATGCTGGCCAAACAATGCTGGTCTATACATAGTGGCAAATTATGAGTTAGTTAACCTATGATTTGCTAGGTTGTGTGCTGTACATAAGCTGTTTCTGGTTTCCATAATCAACTTCTGATAATAGATGGTTGCATGACATGCAAACCCAGACAGTTTAGGTTGCTAGTTAATTTTAGCTAACCTACAAAGTACCCAAAGTGTTCAGATTCATACATCATGCACCAAGCTTTGATTGGACTGCTCAGAGGTTGAATATTCAACATGGAAGCAGCTCGCAGGTTGGCAAATTGTAGGTTATCCCATAATTTTCTGCTATTATGTGTGAAAATTAAGTATATATTAAATATATTTAATAATATGTAGTTGGGTTTGGTTTTTGAGTGCTTTGACTCAAAAAGGTGTATAAAGCATATATATATGTATGTATGTATGTATGTATGTATATATATGAGTTTTTAATTTATTATAACACTTGAATCCTCTCTCATTTTTTCATGGTGATTTGTTGTTAGGCAGAACTGTTTCCTGACCAATTCCATGGAGGCCGAATTTTCTACAATGAGGCTGTGATGTCTTCTTTAAGAATCCCTCAGGTACAACATTGCATTGGATAGTATATTTTTAACATGTATTTTCTAGTAATTTTACATTAATGAACAAACATCTACAACTGGTGAAAAGAACACTTCATGTTAATATCAGAAGAGTCCAGCAGTATCTTACTTTTTGTATCTATCATACCAGTATTCCTCCTGCTTTGACCAGAAATTTTATTGTAGATGACACTACAGTTAATTGTTCAGTGTTTTCATCTCATTTTCAGCAACAGATACATGAAGTAACACTGCTGTGTCACATAACAGAGTTGTTCCTTCTTTTTCCAACACATAAGAAACTCTTAAGTGCAGTCAAAAGTGCAGCTGCCTTGCAAGCAAGTAATGCAGTGTAACAAATGCAGTTGGGATACAGAAAACAAGCAGGCAGAACCAGAGGGAAACAAACCAGGGATGGAGAAAGCAATCAATTTTTTAAATAAACCAAGCATTAGTGTTAATGTGAACTGGGTTAGTAACAACAACCAGAAAGCTGGGTGAATGTGGGTTTGTTTGTTTGTGTATTTATTTATTGTATTTATATCCACTAGCATAACCCAGTGAGTGCTCAGGATGGCTTACAATAAAACAGGAAAAGGAACAATTAAATAACAGTTAAAAGTGTAACATCTAATTAAAACAATACAAACACTAGTAATCAGTAGAAATTACAACATGGCACACAGTAATAAAAATTAAAACAATGTTAAAAGCAATTGCTACTAAAATACCCAATTGAATAGAAACATCTTTACTTGGTGCTGAAAAGTTAGCAGCAATGGTGCCAGGCACACTTCCTTGAGGAGAGTGTTCTATAAATGAGGTACACTCACAGAGAAGGCACTTCTAGCCATTTCTCCCCCTCACTTCATGGAGAAGGACCTCCACTGAAGATCTTAATGCCCAGGAATGGATATATGGAGAAAGGTGTTCCCTCAGGTATCCTGGTTCCAAGCTGTTTACAGCTTTGTATTTTAACATCAATACTCTGAATTGGGCCTGAACTTCAACATGTCATTTTGTCATTGAACCATGGGTGTAAGGGGTTCAATGAACCATGTGTTCAACCATGGGTTGACTGTTTGGTTGTTCTTACATGCAGACCCTTCACTGTGGTTAAGCTATGGGTTATCCATGAACAATCCAAGATGAGAACCCATGGTTTGTAGTTGACAGCACATAAACCATAGTGCAGGGTTCACACATAATGACAGCCCACAACTTAATGACAATGCATACTTAACTAATTGCTATGTGCAAAGCAGAACTGTGTGTGGAGTGAGTTTTCTGTAAAACAAACAGGTAAGCTGATACATATTACAATATAGTTTTTGTTCTGGAGGTATGTAGTGAAAAGAGATGTGCATGCTTGCTTTCCCTGTTAAATTACAGATTTTCTTGGCTTTTTATGCACTGTTAAGCTGAGAGCTTTGGGACTGCCTTCTAAAATAAAAATCTTAATTTTTTTCCTTTAAAATTTTTCTGAGATGAGTAACTAAATGGTGCTTTTGCATTGCCTCATGTTACAGTCAGAATTTAGAACAAGAAATAAAATACAGTATCTATTCTTCTCACATAATCATCTTGTTTTGTTTTTTTAGGTGGCAGTTGTGTGTGGCTCTTGTACTGCAGGAGGTGCTTATGTTCCTACAATGGCAGAGGAAACGATCATAGTAGATAAAATTGGCACAATGTTCCTTGCTGGACCACCTTTAGTTAAAGCTGCTACAGGAGAAGACATTCACCCTGATGAACTGGGTGGAGCCAATCTGCACTCTAAGTAGGTGTAATTTCTCAGTGAATTACTTATGATTTCTTGAACCATTCCTTCAAATCATAGACATTCTTGAGCAGGTTTAAGCAACCTGCTTCCCTGTAGTTGTTTGAATTACAGCTCTCTATGCCTGGCCAGTGTAGCCAGTAGTATGGTTTGGTAGTATGGAAGTTTCCATCCAAAACATCTACAGAACTCTGTTTTGGAAGTCTTCAGGTTCCTGTTAAGAAGAATTGTCTTTAAATGATCTATCTAGAAACAAAGATGCTGTGCTTAATTTGTGTTGAGCTTGGCTCCAGAATTTATTTTCAGGATATGAATTATCCCTAATTGTATGTGAGATATTGTGAAGGATATTGACAAAATTGAACAGCTAGAGAATGATGAGAAGTAGCTCTAGATCCATTGGTAGATTTCTGGCTGATGTGCCACAGATTAGTTAGTAAAGACTTTTTTCCAACTTTTTTCATCTTTCATCAGATAAAAGTATTCAGTTGTCTTTGCCAATCTTGTAAAATTTTCCTCTGTATTGAAATTGGTAACAACTAAAATTTAAAAAATAACTTTGGCAGTACATTTATTTTTATGATAGAAATTTTTCCCAACCTTGAAGCTTTTAGTTTTGACTGTTTCTGTAAAACCTTTTGTATCTTTATCCAAGTTGTTTTATAATTACCTTGATATCATTATCATTACATCCTGTCAGATTTATGCCAATGTATTTAAGCAAATTACAGGTTATTTTGCATCCTGAATTTTTTTAAAAAATATGTTTCTCCTCTTGTTCTGTTAAAACTTCAATATTTTCCTCATTGTTTTTGTTTATTTTATAACCAGAGGAAAATTAAATTTGGTTTTTTTCTGGAATGGAAAAAAGCCAAGGACTAGATTTAAAGTTTTACAGGATAAAAAAGAGGAGGCATACAGTACCAAATATTAAACTATATTATTATGCAGCCAATATAGTCTGGATCACAGATTGGATCTTTAATTTTGATGAAAGATTAGTGAAACTGGAGATGGCAGACCTTGAAGAAGGAATACATAATAAGTTATGGACCAAAGAATCTTTGAAAAAAGCATTGATCCTAAATAATAGTCATCTATTCAGGGATCCTCTAATAAAAATTTGAAGAAGAATCTTATAAAAATCTTATAAGAAGAAGAATTAGTACCCCAATCTCTCCTTTGATGTCTCCAATATAAGAATAGTATGGAAAACAGTTGAGGAAAAATAATGATTCCATATAAAGTCATGTCAAAAATTAAACGGTGAAGGAAAACATATGGAATGGTTTAAAAACTGTAAGGATTCAACCCAAGATACTTTTGGATCATCATTTGACTTTTAAGATGTCCCCACAGAAAACAATCATAGACAGTTTGATCTGGGGATCTTGGAGGCCATGGAATGTCACTGGCGCATGAAATGACCGGCCTTCTAAACAATCGTCGAATAGCTGCCATTGATTGTTGGGTAGTATGCGAAGTGGCTCCGTCCCATTCAAACCACATGTTTTCGATATTCAGATGTGCAAAGTTTTGCAACCTCCGCACAAAAAGTGTTTCAAGCGTAGCAACATACTGATTGGATGTAACTGTGGTTGCAATTATTATTATTATTATTATTATTATTATTATTATTATTATTATTATTATTACATTTCTATGCCGCCCCTTGCCGAAGCCTCGGGGTGGCTTACAACACAATAAAATACATTGAAATACAATAGAACATAATAAATTACCATTAAATACAAAAATACAAAAAATACACTGAGTTTCAAACATAATAATATAAAATTAAAAATAACAGTATAAAATAAGTAAATAAATAATATAGGAGGAGAAAAGAGAAGGAAGAAGAAGTTGCCATGGCCAGATCATATATTTTAACAATTAAAATGATGTTTAAATAAAAAGGTCTTTACCTGGCGCCGAAAAACCAGTAACGACGGTGCCAGGCGGACCTCTTTGGGGAGTGAATTCCATAGGTTAGGCGCCACCGCAGAGAAAGCCCTCCTCCGAGTACTTACTCTCCTAATTCCTTTCATGGAGGGTTCCCGGAGAAGGGACTCTCCTGCAGATCTCAAAGGGCGGTCGGGCATATACGGACGTAAGCGCTCGTTCAAGTAGCCAGGACCCAAGCTGTTTAGGGCTTTATAGGTCATAATCAACACCTTGAGTGGGGCCCGGGCTTCAATGGGAAGCCAGTGAAGCTGACGGAGGACTGGAGTCATGTGAGCATAACGCCCCGTCCCCGTCAGCAACCTGGCAGCTCTATTTTGCACCAATTGAAGTGTTCGGACTGTCTTCAGGGGAAGCCCCACGTAAAGCGCGTTACAGAAGTCTAGGCGGGAAGTCACCAGCGCGTGTGTCACTGTCGCCAGGCAGTCGTACTCCAGGTAGGGGCGCAGCTGATTAATCAGCCGAAGCTGAAGGAAGGCGCTCCTCGCCACCGCTGTCACCTGAGCTTCCAAAGAAAGCTCCGGGTCGAGGAGTACTCCTAAGCTGCGGACCTTGTCCCTAAGAGGGAGCGTTGCACCATTCAGGACCAGGTCAAATCCACCCTCTCCGAAACCAACAGGACCTCTGTCTTGTCTGGATTGAGTTTCAGTTTATTGGCCTTCATCCATTCTATTACCTCGGCCAAGCACCGGTTCAGCACAGCCACTGCCTCACCTGGATTAAGTGGAAAACGAGAGGTAGAGCTGGGTATCATCAGCGTATTGATGATTCCGCAGCCCACACCTCCTGATGACCTCTCCCAGCGGTTTCATATTGATGTTAAATAGCAGAGGGGATAGAATGGAGCCCTGTGGTACTCCATGGCATAGCTGCCATGGCGCAGAGACATCGTCCCCCAGCACAACCTTCTGGAATCGACCGTTGAGATAGGAGCGGAACCACTGCAAAGCAGTGCCTCCAACTCCCAATCCCGCTAGCCTATCCAGAAGGATACCATGGTCGATGGTATCGAAAGCCGCCGAGAGGTCCAGAAGAACCAACAGGGATGCACTCCCCCTGTCCTTCTCCCTGCACAGGTCATCGTACAGGGCGACCAAGGCAGATTCAGTACTGTACCCGGGTCTGAAGCCGGACTGAAAAGGATCCAGATAATCAGTTTCATCCAAGAGTGCTTGGAGTTGTCCCGCCACCACCCGCTCCAACACCTTGCCCAGAAACAGGATGTTGGCCACAGGTCTATAGTTAGTGGCCATCTCTGGATCCAGTGACGCTTTCTTCAGGACCGGTCGTATTACCGCCTCCTTTAAAGGGGCAGGGACTCGACCCTCCCTCAGAGAAGCGTTAACCACTTCCAAGATCCAGGACCCAATCCCGTGCTTGGAGTTATTTATTAACCAAGACGGGCAAGGATCCAATAGGCAAGTAGTGGGACGTACTCGTCCAAGCACCTTGTCCACATCATCGGGCCGCAATAATTGAAATTCCTCCAACAATTTTGGACCAGACGGTAGCATTGGCGTCTCCCCAGAGACCTCTGATTCATTAGTGGAGTCCAGCTTGTGACAAATCTGAGCGATTTTCTCCCTGAAATGCCTGGCAAAGTCGTCACAGCGGGCCTTTGAGGGTGGCATCGGATCTTCCTTAGGACCCGGGCGAACATCTGGCCCGATGGCTGACCCTGACTGGTCCGCATGAGGTCACTGGCAAATTAAAAGTCAATGCAAATATATATCGTTGTAATATAGATGCAAGCAATACAACTGCACTGCTTTTATTTTGAAGAATCTGCTAAATTGAATTGAATTTATTGCTTTTCATGTTATGTTAATGTTTTTGTGAATATTCATTAAATAGCGTTGTTCTGTGCTCCGCATTTTCATTGTATCATTGTAATGTTTCATTTACTGTATAGAGATATATATTGAGCAGAGCCGTAAGTGTATTGGTCCGGCCCTTAACAACTGTCAAAGTTTCTCACGTGGCCCCACAGGAAAATTAATTGCCCACCCCTGTTCTAAAGGATGATGATCCAAAAGTATCTTGGATTGAACCCTTACAGTTTTTAAATTCAAGACTAAGCTTTCAGTTATCCAACACATATCTATACTTGAATATGTCTGATCTGTCAGAAAAAAGTATAATTCCTAATTTTTGAATTTTGAAATCTCCATGCATCTTGCAGTTAAAATATTCTTGCAGTTAAAAACATTTTTTAGGGAGTTTACCCCTTTTCATCTTCTTTGATTTGTCTTAAGGTCTAAAATTCCATATAACCATAAATCAATATTTCACAAATCTAAAAGTGATTGAATTTTTTTAATAAAATTTATCTTTTGCATCATTTGGTGCATATATTGTTGCCAGCGTACATATCTTTCCATTGGGTAATATTATTTAAAGAATAATAAATCTTTCATCTGGGTCTTTCAAATCATTCAAGCTTTATTAACATAGATCACAACCCCTTTCTTTTTGGTGTCTGCTGAGGCTTTGTACATTTTGTCCAATTTCTTACAGTTTAAGTATTGCCATATTTTTCTTTATATGTGTTTCTTGGATGCATATTATGTGTGCGTTTTGTGTAAATTGGTGTCCTGCACCAGCAGAGGGATGGATTCGATGGCTTTCAAACTGTTCTATTCTGATTATGATTCCATGTTGCATTAACAATTTCACAAATATATTGAAATTACATGTTAAAAATGATTGTTTGCAGTATCATTAAAATGTAAAAGATAGTACAGTGGTACCATGGCTCACGAACTTAATCTGTTTCAGGACTCTGGTCGTGACCCAAATTGGTCGTGACCCAAGTCAAATTTCCCTATAAGGTCCATGTAAATAAGGTTAATCTGTTCTGCAACTATTTTTTTTTTACTCACAAAAATTTGAAGCAAAGTAACAAAGAACAACAAAGATCTCAGCCATCTCCCCCCCCCCCCCAGCAATCGTGCAGGGGGGATGAGGGGAGATGAGCATGATTGCGGGTGCGCTGGAGGGGAGGCAGGTGCGGGTGGGCACATGGGCGCGGCCGTGCTGGCAGGGAACATGGGGGCAATTGCATCTATCTCCCCCCCACAGCACGACCACGATCGCGCCTGTGCAGGGCAGGCGGTCATGCTCGCGATTGTCACCCAACGCAGAGTTCGTGACCTGCAGCAAAATTTTTATGAAATGTCTGTTTGCGATCCAATTTGGTCATGAGCTGAGCCATTCATGAGCCACAGTACCACTGTATTTGGCTTTCCTCATTTTCTGGAATAAAGAATCTTGCCTGATGCAAAAGTTCTATCAAAATACATGAAAGATTCTTTTCAACTTATTTTACTCTTAATACAAATATTTTACTCTATATACAAATATTCAAATATTTTGCTAACAGTGTTTATTGTTGTGTACCTTGTCATACCTTTTGTCATATAGTTGTGAAATCTCTTCCTCAGGATTAGTGGCTGTGTTGACCATTTTGCATCTTCAGAAAAAGAAGCATATGAATGTGTTAGAAATATTATTTCTACACTTAATTATGAAATTCCACTAGAAGAGACTTCAGAGTTTGACAGTCCCTTGTATAGTTCTGATGAGCTTCTGGGACTTGCACCACAAGGTTATAGCTACACTCTACATATAAAATTGGTAAGGAGAACTCTCAATCTTGAGCACACTTATGCATCTCAAAATAAATCCCATTAAAATAAGTGGAATTAAACCGCCTAGATGAGTAGTTAACAATAGTTTAACTGGAGTTCTTTTAACTGTTAGTTTGCTTGGACTATTTATGTAGGTCTATTGGTAAAACCAACAAAAAGTCTTGTAATATCTTAAAAACTAACTTATTACAGCATATGCTTTTGTGAACTATAGTGTATTTTACTGAATATATGGAGTGTGATTTTCTGTTTACGAGTAGGGATGTGTGTGTGTAATGCTCTGTGTAAAATAACAAAGCAATGGAGACAGTCTGAATCTGGTCTGGGTGTAGAACCTCTTAAGTAAAACAGAACCTGAAACATCCAACACTAAATACATGTTAAATTACTCTGTTACTCTGTCTATCTTTCATCTCTCTATCTAAACAGTGTGGTGTGGTCAGAGTGTTGGACTGAGTATCTGAGTATAGTTCCCACTCAGCCATGAAGCCCATTGGGCACCTTCAAGCGAGTAATTTACTCTCAGCCTAATCCACCTCACAGGGTTTTTGTGAGGATAAAGTGGAGTGGAGAACTACTTTTACAAGAGTAAAACAGGTGGGCTATAATTGCAGTATAATAATAATGTGCACTAAAAAAAACCAGGGTCACAGCTTTATGCATCTGATGAAGTGAGCTTAGTCTGTGAAAGTTTATACTTTAGTAAATTTGTCCATCTCTGGATGCAACCGTGTGGTTGCTAGATGCTGTCCACATCACAATAGAAAAATTCAGCCCCACCTACAGCCTCCAAAAAACACTGTGAAGTTGAAGCCAGGTCTCCAAATTTGGAATGCCCTCCCTCAATCCTTGGAGCCAGTGTAGTTCTTTCTGCACAGGCTGTGGACTTTAGAGTAGGGATGAGGGGTTGCATGGAGGAGAGAGTGAGGCTTTAGTAAGCTGGCCTTTAGTGCCTCAGCCCTGATTCCCCACAAGAAAGAGCATATCACTTAGGCAGCTTAAAGTGTCTTAAGTGTTTTGCGGGTGGGAGAAGTGTGTAGACTTCCTTCTCCCACTCTCCATTGGATGCAGGTGCCAGACCATGCCTTCTGTTGACACTGTTCCTAAGTTTCCCTCCAGAGGTTATATTGATGTGGGATTGTAGCAGCACTTCTAGATGTGAGTATTTGGTTGGGGTGTCAAGTCAGAAAAAATATATTGAGGGCTGAAAATAAACATACATAAATTTGGATGTATGTTTCATACCTAAACAACTCAGACATTTTAATGCTTACTTTATATTTGTATATGGAACACTGTTTGTGAGTAGAAATTTATGACTTGTCAGTAAAAATTTTGTCATGTAACATTCTCTTTGAATATCACACTATAATTTTTGACTGAAGAAAACTTTTTTAAAAAGCTGTATAACATTGATTTTTCATTTCTGTTGACAATATTTCATAGATTCTGAGTCGTATGATAGATGGAAGCAGATTCCAAGAATTCAAAGCTAATTATGGAACGACTTTAGTAACAGGATTTGCCTACATAGAAGGGTAAGTTTAAAATAAACTAAATTATTTTAACACTATTGAGCAGTTAAGTGTTTAAAATAAATCCACTTGTTCAGGTAAATGAGGTAATTCTTGACATCATAGTCACATAGTCAGTTTGTTATTGTGATAGAGATGTAGCCAAACCTTACCTCCTGGGTTGAGTCTCAGGTTGACCTAATTATTTTTATAAATCTTTTCTATTTTAGGTGGCTTTTAGAAGTCAAAGTCTTAGCTGTGGTTTTAATTTGCCATTTAATTATTCATATTCTTAATATTGTTTGCCTTTTGTCAACTGACAGGCATTGCTAATTAATAACTTTCATCTACCATTTTCTTGCTCACTCTTTGTTTATATGATTATTTTGAAACCACTTAGGCAGACATATGTACTTACCTGGGAGTAAGCCCCATTGAACACAGTGGAATTTACTTAAAGAGGAAACACTCATAGAATTGTAGAGTTATTAACTGTGCTGAATATTTTTGTATTACTAATGCGTACTGTTTGTCTTGAAAGTAGATGCTGAGATAGTTGTTCATGCACCTGAAATAAGCACACATTCATCCTTTGTTTATCTTTGCTTTCATTTTCCTTTCCTCTTCCTGTTGTGTCCCTTGTACCTGTTTTTTGAGTGTGTGTCTCTTAGGGCAGATACTTTTCAAATAAATTTTTAAAAATCTAATGGAGACTATGACCTGGTTTGCATGTCATGACAGCAAATCATGGGAATGCAACACTACCTGCTAGCTGTTTTCTGTTCCTAAAAACAGCTTCCAGTTATCACAATTGGAGATTGTGAGTGTGACATTTGAACATGGAGTGATCAGTTGTTTAGTGGCTTAACTCACAACATGTTTTTTTCTGCATTTCTGGTTAAGGAATTAATCTGGTTGATCAGTTAACTCACAATTTGTTGCCAAATGGCCTCTTTGATCTGGTAAAGCTCCTATGAAGGCTTAGGCTATAACAACTTTGTTATTTTTATAATTCTATTATAAATTTGTTATTCTTCAGAGTGTTGATTTTGCAAGAACAGACTAGCATAGCTAACCTTCTGGAAAATGGTTGTATAAATTTTTTATATAATTAATAATTGTGTTCTGAATGTGCATACCAGCTTTCATTCTGATACCTTAATCTTCAAGGGAGTTACTCTACTGTGCTGTTTTTCAGACGTCCTCTGCAAATAGGAATGTGGATTAGAACTCAGGCTTGTCCTTGAAATGCAAAACATTTGTCCAGAATGTGCATGCCAATTTTAATTTTCATGTCTCAATCTCAATGGCTAGTATTAACTTGATTGACTTAATTTCATATATTCCAATGGATAGTTTTGTTCCACCATCCTTTCCGTTGGAGAGTTATCTTGTGCAAAAAACTGATGTGCAATTCAGGGGATTTAAACATCCCTCCCTGTATAAACGTTAATTACATTTACCAGCAATCAAACACAACTTGATTGTTGCTACGGAGTTGTGATTTCCTCACCGTCAACCACCCCCAGCTAACAGTTCCAGTGCAGATGTGATGCTGTGTGGTGTGTGTGCAGGTGCATGCGCTGGGCATCTGTTCGTCAGTGACCAGCAACAAAATCCTCTCCTGCTTGTCTTTTTAAGTGCTTAATCCTCGCATATTTAGACAAAAAAAGTCCTACAACTTGGCAGACAGGGAGTTGTAAGACTTTTTTTTTGAATAGACATGCATAAGATTGCTCCTAAAAAATTAAAATTGTTTTTAATATTTCATGGGCAAGATGAACATTTCCACTGTAGTGAGAGTACTCATGTAGTTTTTAAATGATTGGGCAGAAAGAATACCTGCCAAGTACTAGAAGACCACCAATCATCCATGATAGTGGCATTAGTTCTAGGCAGTATTCAACACTAAGGCATATGCAACTTCTTTAAACAATTTCTGAAAGGTAAGCAGGCTGTTTCCCCTAAAGCACAGTATTCCTTCCTGCAGCTGGCCATCTCTTTCTCACTCCAGTCCATTCAGTGAGGATTCCATGCTGTCAACCCCAGGGATGGTCATCTTGCTGCTCTCCAGATGTTTGGCATACAGCTACCATTAGCTTCAGGCAGCATAACTATTGGAGAGGGATAGTGAGAAGTGTAGACCAAAATATTTTGAGGACTGCAGGTTGCCCATCCTAGTTTAGGCTTTGTTAGGTTAGTACTACTTTAGAGTTTAGTGCTACTGTGTGTTTATGTGGTGATTTATTTTATAGTAAATATTTCTAATGATATCTCCTTAAGAAATGTCTAGGAGCTATCTAGGATAAAGCATGAAAAGCCTGAAGGACCCTTATGGGTTTTGTCAGCTGAATAGCTAAGTAGCAGACTCTGTTCTCTAGCGCTGTTAATAAGGCTGCTTTCACTAACAGTAGAATCACTCAGAACTTTAAAAAGCAAAAATAAATATTTCAAGGCCATTTTGTTTGTAAAAGGAAGGCCTCTAGTGGCCTAACCCTTTCTCTCAATGTTAAGCTTGCCTCAACAGCCTTAGAAAGCAAGACATTTTACATGGATAAATAAAGCATGCTGCAAACTCGAAGTCCTTGATTTCCTCTGAGATTAAAACGTGATTGTTGAGATGCTTATAAATTAAGCATTTAAGATAAATAATGCCACCGAGAATATAGGCAATAGTATTTGCTTCCTGCTGCAAGTAGTTTGAGGACATTATACAACAAGAAGTTTTATATTCATTCCTTATTTAGAATTGTTTTGTCACAGATTAATTTTGCTTGACTAAATTGCCTTGGGTGAATTCCACAGTGTATAACATTACTATTACAGATAATGATAGCTTTTTAGATTATTGTTTTACAGAGTAGTATATCAACCATATTTGATCATTCATGGTAAGTGTAAAACAAGGCAGTATAACAAAAAAAGGTTTTCTGACAAAAGACCTGTGACTAAAGAAATATACCTAATTTAATACGTGAATATCCAGTGAAATAAATGCTTACAAAGTATAAATGCTTACAAAGTGAAACAGTGTGCTTACAAATAAATGCTTACAAAGTGAAACAGTGTGCATTTATTTTGCATTCACATTTTAATGTCAAATCTACATGGGAACTTGTAATGCCCATGGAATTTTATACGTGGCAACACTAATGATTTGTGTTTTTTCCTAATCTAATCCTTTCTATATTCTTCAGGGAAGAGAAATGGCTGACATGTCCTTTCGTTGTGAAGAGTATTTCATATTTATTGATATAACTAGTTACTGGATCTAGTAATGTCTTTTTTTCTGATTTCTCTTCATTGAACTCAACATTATTCCCTTTATTTTATTGGGTGGGTGGGGGTCTTCTGTTTGTTTAGTGGACTGGATGGACACCTTGCTTGCATTCTGAAGTCTTTTACTATGGTTAGTAGGAATTATTTCAACTCCTAAACCTAGACATAATATATAGACCCTCAAACAGAAAAATCATTATGCTGTTTTGGAAGAGAATATGCTAGAACATCTGTGGAATATAATGCTATTAATTTGCAATTATTGTTTTCAATTATTTGCATCTTTACAATTGCCCCAATAAAGAACCTTTCATCAAGATGTGTTAGTGTCCTGGGCTTTTTAAAAGCAAATGCTTGCATGAACGACTGGTTAGTGATGAATTCTGCAAGCTCTTCGTTATCCTTTTTTGCTTTCTGATGATGATGTTTTATTTGCTATATTAGCGATTTTGTTTTGTTTTATAAAGCAGAATTAAAAATATCTTAAAACCTGAATAATGACCAGGGTACATTGGCTAGGCTCCAGAGAAACACAAATAACATTCTTTTCATGGAATAAAGCTTTGTTGTTTGTTGTTGCTTCCTACATGTCTAAAACGCTATTTCTGAGCGTTCTGAACTTCCAGAATAGTGTAAGCTGTGGCATGAGGAGTCTATTACTGGAGGAGAGAACTGGGACTGTCTGAATGAGTGAACATATATTCCTCTTCTGTAAAAGGTACTTTGGTTTTAAAAGTACCTTGGACAGCTTGGAAATGAAAGAAATACAAGGCATTAAGTGGCTCTTTAAAATGACAATGTGACATCATAGTACAAAATACATAAAGGATACTTTGTGATTTCATTTGTTTTTCTACTGCTCTTAAAGTATAGAAAGTGTTTTATCTTTTTGTTAGACAGCTAGTTGGAGTAGTGGCTAACAACGGTGAGCTGACTCATGATGCTTCTCTAAAGGGTTCTCACTTCGTACAGCTTTGTAGCCAGCGAAGGATTCCAGTGCTGTTTCTTCTGAATACAGCTCCATGTGCAGCGGAGCCAACCAGTCTCACAGAAGTAAGGCAACCAATACGGCGCATATTTGGATAGCCATAAATTACTGGCTATTGTTTATAAAGCTTTACAAACTTCTGTATGTAAGCACACATTGTGATTTGCTCTGTTTTGAAGAATAATGTATGATTTTGAAGAGGTATAGACTCTGGTAAAGAGTTTCTAACACAAAATCCAACATTAATTTCCGCCATCCTCCTCTCCTTTTCCTCCTTGGATTTGCAAGAAAATTCATTAAGCACTTTCATCTATAATATATATATATAATTTTCAGATCTTTAGATATCCAGGCAAGGAAGCAATAGGACCTCTGTTTAAAAATGAAATAAAATGACTGTCTATGCCTTTTTCCTTTTATTTAGGCAGAAGATCATAGTAAGAGGTTAAAGGCACAAGCTTCTATGATGGCTGCAGTTGCTTGTGCTTCTGTTCCCAAGATAACGCTTGTGATTGGTGGTTGCTATGGAAATGAAAGTTATGCTATGGTAAGATTATTAAAAAAGATGACCAGTGTATTAGTTCCTAGGTCTTGGTGACCAACTTGTCTCTTCTTAGCCACACTCCCAAGTATTCAGCTGTATTATTTAACAAATGAACATTCTGGCATGTTGTTAAGAAGTATTGACTCACTGGTAATATTTGACTGAGATTTGCGCTGCTCTGTAGCTTGGGCATAGAATCCAGACGTAAAGACATTATTGATAGAGTAATATTTATGCTAACGTTTGCACTTGTAGCTAGGGAAGTTTTGGATGTGGGATTCCCTGGGCTTGACTCCATGGACTTTGGTGTTCTTTGTCATGCCCTGAATCCAAGTTCCTGGCAAGCTTACATAGTGTTCAAGTGGTACTTACGAGGAATTGAGCCCAAGTGCTGCACAAGCACCCTCCTCCTTTTGCACCATGTGCAGTAGCCTTTGTTTGTGCTGCAGCATGTAATGGAGAAAAGGTTGCTAGTTGTGCAGCCTTTAATCTGCAGGCATTTGCAGATGTCGTCTTGGCTCGGCTGGCTTTCTGAGACTGGGCAGAGCACAAAAGGAAGTCCACAAAATGTATTTGCTACATGTACCTTTATGTGCCTCTCTTAGAAACACTACAATATAACTTTATGCAAGACATCAAGGACTTAGACCTATTTATGTTTAGCATAGGGTAGTGCCTTAAGTACCTTTAAAATGTAAGTATGAAGTAACTTTACAACAGAACTCTTACTATTTAGCTCATATCTAGGGAGCATTCTAATGGCCCCTGGACATGGTCTGAGGAGTCATAGGATACTAGGGATTCTCTTTTAGTTGATGCAACTGGGAGGCAACTGGGGAAGCCAGGATTTAAGCTATCCTGTGGCAAGCCCAGCCTCATTCTCCCCTCCCCCCACCCCCCGAAGTGGGCAAATAAGCTTAATTAATGAAAAATGCAGGGTTTGAGGACAAGAAAGTGACATCACCTTCCCCCTCTTCTGGCCTGGTCTGAATGATTAGAGTTTGGGAGCATTCATTCATTGAAGGGATTATTGATAGGATTGCACCCTTAATTCCTCATGGAAATGTGGTTCTTAACAGGTTGCATGTATTTAAACACTTACACAGATATCCCAATTGTCTGATACACTCCCTCTTAGGGATAAGGTCCGCAGCCTAGGAGTACTCCTCGACCCAGAGCTTTCTTTGGAAGCTCAGGTGACAGCGGTGGCGAGGAACGCCTTCCTTCAGCTTCGGCTGATTAATCAGCTGCGCCCCTACCTGGAGTACGACTGCCTGGCGACGGTGACACACGCGCTGGTGACTTCCCGCCTAGACTTCTGTAACGCGCTTTACGTGGGGCTTCCCCTGAAGACAGTCCGAACACTTCAATTGGTGCAAAATAGAGCTGCCAGGTTGCTGACGGGGACGGGGCGTTATACTCACATGACTCCAGTCCCCCGTCAGCTTCACTGGCTTCCCATTGAAGCCCGGGCCCAATTCAAGGTGTTGATTATGACCTATAAAGCCCTAAACGGCTTGGGTCCTGGCTACCTGAACGAGCGCTTACGTCCGTATATGCCCGACCGCCCTTTGAGATCTGCGGGAGAGTCCCTTCTCCGGGAACCCTCCATGAAAGAAATTAGGAGAGTAAGTATTTGGAGGAGGGCTTTCTCTGCGGTGGCACCCAACCTATGGAATTCACTCCCCAAAGAGCCTGGCACCGTCGTTACTGGTTTTTCGGCGCCAGGTAAAGACCTTTTTATTTAAACATCATTTGAATTGTTAAAACATATGATCTGGCCAGGGCAACTTCTTCTTCCTTCTCTTTCTCCTCCTATATTTTTATTTACTTAAGTTATACTGATAATTTTAATCTTATATTTGTAAACCAATGTATTTTTTGTATTTTGTATTTAATGGTAATTTATTATGTGCTATTGTATTTCATTGTATTTTATCGTGTTGTAAGCCGCCCCGAGGTTTCGGCAAGGGGCGGCATAGAAATGTAATAATAATAATAATAATAATAATAATAATAATGATTAAAAAATAGTGGTCCCTTGGTTCCCAGTCTTAAAAAAAAGTAGTATTGGTTAGTAGCATCGATGGATCCTGGTGTTGGGACAGAAACCTGATCGGTGGTACTACAGGTAGGCATTTGCAAAAAATAGTAGAGAATGAAAGCAAGAAGGAACATTCTCAATTATTTTAAGAAAGACTGCATAAAAATACAGCGAAGTAGTAAGTTTCCAGTGTTGCTTTTGTGTAGCAAGTAAGATAGAGCTGTGCCATATGTGTCGGTATATGGTAATTGTAAATGGTCAAGCTGTTTGTGATGTTTGAACAGCTCCATAGGACTAGGCTGCGCCGAAACTTGAAACTGGTGTTTTACATTAGAGCATCATTTTCTGCAATATTTCAAAAGCTTTTCAGTATCTTCTCATAAATGAACTATTTGTTCTACTGGCTTGAGTTTTAATTCATGGATTATTTTGCCTTTTGTTGCCTTTCCTTAGTGTGGAAGATCATTTGATCCAAACTTCTTGTTCCTCTGGCCTAATACAAGAATTGCCCTTGTGGATTCAAGACATTTTCCCACAGTTTCATTCATGCGGGATAATGACAGCACAGCAGCAGAAGCAGACTTAATACTATTGAAGGAAAAGTAAGTTCATTTTTAAAAAAATCTTCAAAATTATGATGAATTAATAGTTCTGATAGTACCATTTAAATTTCTGGATACTGCTTCTACATTTCTAAAATTGTTTTGCTTTTTCTTCTCTTCTGTTGATTAACTTTGTGAAACAGAATGTGTGTTGTCTAGTAAAAATCAGATTTTATTTTACATTTTTTAAAAAGTTAAATAAAAATATCTGTTTTTCCTGCAGATATGTTTGTGTTGTTTTATTCCTCCCTTCAGCAACTCTAAATACGCCAGAAAATAGAAATATTACACTTAACTTCCTGAAATTCCTCTCTCTAGACTAGAGGAAGAAAGCAGTGCATTTTACTCTTCTGCCAGGATCTGGGATGATGGTGTAATCTTACCTCAGAATTCAAGGAAGGTAGGCTTTCTTCTCTTAATTGTATAAATGTAAACTGTGCTTAGGACCTGTCCCTTCCTATGCTCATCTGTCACAATTATTTTTCATACTATATTTTTTTCTTGTTAGAGTAGCATCACCTCATTCATTGTAGTTCATTCATGTCTCCAATTTGTTGATATGAAATATTCTTCATTGTGGTCTCTGTGCATCACTCATATTGATGCTGCACTAGCACAGTGCCTGTATTTGGGAAGATTTTCTCAGCAAGTGACATTTTGACAGGAACTCCGCTCTCCCACCCACTCATATAAATGGACAGAGTCCCCGCCCCATCGCCAGTCCACTTTCAACCACTGTTCACGGTGCCTTGGGTTCTCTCATTACTTTCTATTTCTCTCACAAACTTCTTGCTTATCTAATCTTTAAAACTTCAGACCTTCTTTTAAATCCTCTCACATGGAATACTGTGTCCTTTTCTGGGCACTAAGATTTAAGAAAGGTGCAGGTAAATTAGAAAGAGTCCAGCGGAGGGCAACAACTGCCCTGTGAGGAGAGACTGAGGGAACTGGGCATGTTCAGCATTGAGAAGACTGAGTGGGACATGATATCCCTCTATAAGTACCTCAAAGGTTGTCACAAAGAGGAAGGTCAAGATCTCTTCTTACTAATGCCAGAATGTAGGACACGGAATAATTAATTTAAGCTGCGGCAACTCAGATTCAGGCTGGACATGAAGAAAAGCTTCCTCACTTTTGGAGCAATACAGCAGTGGAACCAGCTGCCTAGAGTGGTGGTGGGCTCTCCCACACTAGATATATTCAAAAAGAAACTGGACAGCCTTCTGAGTGGGATGGTGTAACATGGTGTCCTGCAACAGCAGGAGTTTGGACTCGATGGCCCTCATGGCCTCTTTCAACTCTTCTATTCTCTGATTCTTCTGCAACCTCAAACCTTCCACAACCTCAAAACCTTCCTTCAGGAATCCTTGCCTTTTCCCTTCCCCGTCACATATTTCATCCTCCACAAAATTAAAAGAAGCCACCTCTGTCATCTTTCTCTTCTGTACTTTCTTATTCTTCCTCAATATGAAATCTTCCAGCAATTGATATTCCTCTTTGTAGAAATTAAATGCAGAAATTTAATACAGAGATAACAAAACAAACAATACTCAAACTGCTCATAATGCTACTTGAGAATATCAGGACTAGAAACAAAGCTTTTCAGTACTGTATTGTTTGGGTAATCCATCAATTGTTGTTGGGAACCAGTGTGATGTAGTGGATAAGAGTATAGGTTTGGGACTTAGGCCATCTGTCCTAGTCCCTGCTCAGCCATGGAGTCAACTGGGTGACTTTGTCCAGTCAGACTCAGTCCAACCTACCACACAGGGTTGTTGTTGTGGGGATAAGATTGAGAGCAGGAGGAGGATAATGATGCAAGCCACTTTGAGTGCATTAAAAAAGAAAAAGGTGGGTCATAAACCAAATAAATAAATAAATGGTTTCAAAGAGACTAAGGCATGTTAGTTTTAACATTGTGTTAACAAAGCTGTGTGTGCAGAATAAATCTGCATGGAACCCCAAAAAGTAGTAGTTTGAATCCTCAGCAGCAGCTAGGGATTGTAGCAATTTTTAAAATTTTGATCTTAAATTGATGTTCTGTATGTTGTTTTCTATCTGTAAACCAAGCTGTCCTTTTGCCTATAAATTTGAATTTGAAATTTAAACCCCATTTTGAATAAACTGAGGATGGGACCATAAAGATTCCTTTCTCGCATATGTCTCCCTTATACTTGACCCCATTTACTTTGTTTAGAATTATAATTTTTAAGAGTACTATTGGCTCAGCTGTGAAAATATGACACAATGCTAGCACAATGGCAGTGATAATATCTTAGCAGACCTTGGACAGAAGCCATTATTTGTTAATATTAGGGAGCAATCACCAACTTGGTGCTATGGAGATATCTACAGGTTCCAGCATTCTCAACCGTGACTAAACTAGCTGAGTTGATGGGAGTTGAAATCCAAAACAGCAGGATGGCATTCAGTTGGGGCAGACTTTCTTAAGGGATTAGGGGCCTAGTATGCTTTTCAGCTGCCTTTTAAAGAGTATTCAGATCACAATTTGTCCAGAATGCAGATGCAAGGCTGTTAAAGGGCTGACATAGGGAGCATATTGCTCCTCTGTTGAAGCAGCTGTGCTGGTTTCTTATTTGTTTGCAGGCATTGTTTAAGAGTGCTGGGGATAACCTTTAAAGTCTTGAATAGTTTTAGATGAGGTATTTAAAGGACCATATTCTCCCATAAGAATCTGTACCTCCATTGAGGTAATCTCTGGAGGCTATCCTGTTTTGAGATGAGGGAGAGGGCCTTTTTTGCGGTTGTACTTCCTTCCAAGGGAATCCTGTCTCATTTACCTTTCTAATGGCCTTCAGCAATTTGATAGAAAGGACATTTGGGCTATGAATTGCTGCCTTACCAAAATATATGTGGATTTTAAAAAACCTGGTTTCATTTTCCTCTACTTTTATTATGTATGCTTTTTTCATTGTTAGGATTGCTTTAAATTCATAGTTTATTGTTTTATCTTGTTCTTAGCTGTCTTGAACTCTTTAGAGAAAAGGCAGTGCAGGAATGAGGTTAATGAACAAAAACCACTTTCAGAGTCAGGCTGCTATCTTCAGTATGGGGTTAATAAAGTGAACCAGATTTGCAGGTTTGTTTTTAAATAATACATGTGAAACAAATTGCTATATAGTATTCTTCAGATCATGTTTTTCTTCTTTTGGCAGGTTATTGCACAATGTTTAAGAATTACGAAACAGCAAAAATATCAGATAAAGTCCCATCAACAATCACCTCTTCCTGTCATACGACTGTAAGCAAGAAAGCTATGCCTATAAATAACTAAATTTGAATATATATGTTGATGACATTTTAATGTTGATCAATAGGTATTTTTCATGTCTTTTCTCAGTTTTGCTTCTGCTATCATTGGAAGGATATTTTAAATGAATAACTTATTTTGAATAAGACCAAGATATTATTATGAACACAATTTTATTAGTTGCTTTCCCAAAATTCTAGACAGTCTCCATTAATAACTGAAAGCAAATAAATAAAGGAAGTACAGAATCACAGAAGAATAACAAAAATTCCATATAGACTAACCAGCATAGCTCCAACTTAGATAGAAGGGGAACACTTTGCCCCACTTTCCGAAAGGCCCAGAAAGAAGTGCAGCCTGTACACATGGTGGGGTGATGACTCCACAGCATTTGGCCAATTGATATATAGGCCCTGCTTCTGACCATAACAGTTCCCACTCGCCGCAGAGCTGGTATAGAAAAAATATCTAGATTAGGTGATTGAAGTGGAGAATAAGGTCAGTACAAGGGAACATGTTCTTCAAGTTATGCACATCCACAATCATGGAGGGCTTTTCTATACCTTCATAATCTTCATATAGTTTTACCTTTGTTTAAAAGGAGAAAAATATCATTCTGCAGTAAGGATTAACAGAATTAACTCTTGCTATCAATGATGTCAAGTTTAAGATGTCATACATGTTTTTATTAATTATCTGTTCTTATCTTTAAAATGTTAAAATGAATCACATAAACAAAGCTGGAATTTTCAGTTCTTTTCTGAACTATTTTTGCTGCCTCACTATTTGTAATTGTTTGCTTAATACTCTTTCATATTTAAAATTAAAAGACTTTACTGACCCCTATACTTAGGATTTTAAAGTTACTGGTGGTATTTGCATGTCAGGCTGCCAATAAGCCATGGTTGCCTGGTTGTTTGTTGAATAACCTAACAGTTGGGCACAGCACAAGTGTTTTTCCTTTCTTTGTTCTGTCACTACACTTTTTGTTCACCCATTTTGTGTTTTGTCTTCTTTCTGAGCCTCAAAAATACACAATTGCACAGTTGCTTTTTTGTCAGTCTTTTGCAGCTGCACAAATGCACACATATACTGATGTCCAATATATGTAGTCTAGTCTAGTCAATGTCCTTGTCAGTTTTGGTTGTCAAAGTTGGCAACTGGTAAATAACTGGTAAAAGGGAAAAATTAAGTGCACCAAAATAGCTCTCGCTTAGCAGTGTAGTCTATAACAAAAACTGTCAGCCATCGGATTCCCCAACTGGGCCAAATCCCACCCAGAACTTCCCTGGTCCCACAATTCTGGATCAGTCACTGGATTCAGCATATGGCACAGCCAAGCTTGGGGAACATACAGTTTATTAAAAGCATAAAATATGGGTGTGGAGGGTTCTAAACCATACTGGCTAAAAGGATAAAACGGTAAAATAGAGGAAAGGTGGGGGAAGGTGAGATTGGACCGCAGCAACTTTACAGTATACAGTCAGCCAGGAAACTGTAGTTCCTAGCAACTTGTTGGCCCACTCAGACAAAAAAACAAGAAATCAAAATCATAGCCTCAGCTATTCAGAGGTTGTTCTTTGTGGTCTCTGTATATCACACATATGGACTTTGCCATGGAGCAGAACACCTAAATTGGAAAGAAGATTCCAGAAATCAGCATCACGAAGTGGGCAGGGGCCCCTCCTGCCCCTTCCGAAGGTCCAGATAAAGGCAGGGGGGGCCCATCCGCTCAGCTCCTTTTTGACCGCACACGCAGTCACATCGCCATAAGAATCTTCTGTTTAGCTTGCTTTTTCTCTTTCTTTCTGCTCATGTGTGTGATGCACAGATGACCACTTGAACAACGACAGTTACAGGTAAGCAGCCTGCCTTCCACAGTCTGCCTTCCACAGGGTTACACAGCATGCTTCCTGCATGGAGAAAGAGCAGGAGAACACAATGTCCCAAGAAAGGCACAAAGCCTTTCTCTCTCCAGACTGTATTCCCTCTCCAGCCTAGGTCAGCTGACTCTGGGGTGATGGCTCATCTCCCACTCCTTGGGGCCAGTCATTAGCAGGCCATAGCTGTTATCTCTGGCATCCCTGAAGCCATAATTTTAGATAGTTCTCTTCACAAAGGAAGAGGAAGATGACTCCCAAGGTCTTGGACACCATATTCTGGATTTACAACATTTTTTCAGTTACAAAATTAACCCTTCCCTTGCTGTCTGGAGCCCACCAGTTCACATTGCATAGTTATCTTGATACCAAGTGTTGAGCTGACATTTCTCAGTGTCCTCCACACTTTGAGCAGTTTCATGGGTCTCTAGCTACTACAGAAAGGGGAAATATCCTCTCTCTCTCTCTCTCTCTCTGGCTCCTTTTCAGAATGCTTACTGTTACAGTTATTGTGGTCCCCTAACAATTCTAAAGAAAAAAATCATGTGGTACAGACTCAATGATTTTATCTACAGGATATCAATTATCTTTGAGGCTCACAAAACCATGCTTACATTCTGTCACTGTTCACTTAAATGTAGACTAATTTTACATATCACTGATAATTATAGGAAATCCCCAAGTAATGAACTTCCAAGTGACTTTACAACCCATGCTTTTGAATGAACTAAAGCCTATCAATTTTTAAAAATTACTGCAGAAAATCATAATCATTATGGGGGGGGGGGAGTGAAAGGGGAGGGAGGCCTCCAAAGCACCCATTCCCGTCCCACACATTCAGAGAGGGAAATCTCTCAGCATTTCCTTGTTGCAAAAAGGAGGGACTGGTGAGTTTGGGCAGTGGTGGGGAGCTTAGAGATACTTGCCATTTTCCCACCTTCACAGGAGCCTGCACCCCAAACTCTGTGAATGTGGAGGGTCAAATATGTGATCTGACTTGCATAAAATTTGACTTAACGAATTTCCATTTTCTCAGGAATGGAGCTCCTTCATAACCTGGGGACTGCCTGTATTTAATTTTATTTGTAGCTACATACATTATACTAAAAGGTAAACTTTAATAAAAGGATAATAATAATAATAACAAAATAATAAGAGGACAGTAGTCATGCTCTTTTGAAAAGGCCATGAAATGTAACAGGGATGTTTATGTCTACTTCTGCCCTGGCTACTTCACTCATGTCCTTTGCACTTAGGATCAAAAGGTAGGCAGGTTTTTGTCCACTGCCAGGGCTGATGACAATGCTCAGGACAACACCTAGACAAACAAACAAACAAAAAATGAATAAATGGGTTACTTAAATGAAGGAGTACCAAGTATTTGGAACATATCTTACCTACTTTATGTAAGAAAGTTAGAAATGCAATTTATCCAAGCTTTAACACAATAGTCACAATATATGAATATGGCTGGTACAAAACATTTGTTTTCTTCTTTCTGACATATCTTTATATATAAAGTTGCTCTTGTCATTAAAGTGAACCTGGATAGATGTCCAATTTTTATAATGTGAATAAATTTATGTCCCACTTTTTATTGTTTTTATTGCTTTTATAATTTTATATATTTTATTACATACTGTTTAAATGTATTGTTAATAACTAATTTATCTCATTTTTGTTGTATAATGTGTTGTGAACCACCCAGAGAGCCTGTGACTAAGGGGTGTGGCATACAAGTCCAATCAACAACAACAACAACAAATCATAATATTACCATCATCCTCTTCCAGGGCATCTGGGTGAGAAACAAATATTGGTTCAGATGGGTATGCATCTGGTTCTTGCCATACCCAGGTCTCTCTAGTTCTAACATTCATTTTGCAAAGCTGGAAAGAGATAAAGGGAAGAATACTGATTTGTTAATTTATTTTCAGCAAACAAAGAGTAAGTTGCATCAAGATGGCTATAATGTATATGGGCTGTGATCCCAGAGCAACTCTGGAAGCCAAAAAAGGTTGTTCACTCAAGATATAAAGGGTATATAGGGACTAGTGTTACTAGTGCTGATACTGTGAAGTAATTCCAAACTACTGTCCATTTTCATATAATGTGCTTGCTATTGGAATGTGGTATGAAATGTGATCATGAGAGTATGATCAAATGGTAGGGCAAAAATTGCTTTGATGTGACTTTACCATATCATACAAACTTGAGAGCTGGACTTAAGTCTGACATTAAATATTTATCATCATACGTAGAGAATAAGAACTTTGTGTAGACTGAATTTGGCCCAGTGCAGAGAAGCAGGTTAGACTGAGGTGGATGTTATGGTCTATCTTGTTCTGCTCTACAGGGCCCTGCTTGTCACTGGAACAGCAAAATCAAATCTTAAAGATTTGTCAGAGGTATTAACACTGTACTTGGCTGTGTTATCTTGTTCGTGTCAGTGGTGGCATTGGCCATGTGAAGAAATCTAATCTTTCATCTATCTTTACCTTTTAGAAATAGTCTAGTCTACTGCGTTATCATGTAACACTTACCCTGTCTGGAACAAAGTGATTCAGTCCAAGGCCATATGCATACGTGTAGGGTTTCCCAGAATACTTTGTATAATTTATTTGAGGAAACTCAAACGCTATAAAACAGGAAAGATCCATTTAAAGGGATTAATAGGTAATTTTGCATTTACTAACTAGGGTGGTTTTGGTTGCTTCTCGATGAATTTGATAACATTTATTTTTCATCGTGGCCTCTGTGCATCATTCATTATGGGTGCTATGCCTGTGCAGTGCCCGTTGCCGGGAAGATTAAACAGCTTTAATGGTTTTCTGCGGGAACTCCACGCCCTCCCACCCATACTATAGATGGTTGGAGTGCCCACCATTTCCCCAGTCTTCTTGTGACCGCTGTTTGCTGTGTCTTGAGCCTTTCAACTTGCGTTTCGTAGCTATATTTTAAAAAGTTTTACTGTTATATTCTTGACTTCACAGCCTTTTTACTATTCCTTGATCCAAGTTATAATCCATCCAATCCCTTCCTGTTTACACCGTTTTTCCTCACCCTTTTCTCCTTCCTCCCCTACATACACACACCTTCTATCGTTCTTCT